ATCTCCCAGCTTGCCCTCATGTCTTTTGGCAAGTTTCAGGTCAGCAGGCATTGTTTCACACAAAGTCCCACATCCTTGCATTGAATAACTCTGTTTCTAGGAAGCCACTTAACAAAATACCACCCCCGTCTTTCTCCCTGATTGGTTTGCCGAGTCCCAGCGCCCCTATTTTACATCCGACTGTGCCATCCAACCCCAGTTTGCCAATCCTTAATTCCCAGTATCCCGATCCGTTCTTTGGCGCTTAGCGCCCCTGCCCTTCTCTGTCTTTGGTGGCGGCGCCACCCCCAGCCCGTAGGTCCGTATCTCGTCCAATGTTGCCTTCATATCATGTAATATTTCTTTTGAGAAAAAGTCCGTTGGCGTGACCCTCTCCCCAGCCGCCATGAGGCTACGGGCTATAATAATCCAGTCATGTCTGAAAGTGTTGGCCCACACCTCGAACCAATGATTGGGTGTGGGGCCGAATACCTCCTCCCAATCATGGACCTCCTCTGAGGCCCTGCTTGTTGATGCCTGTCCTTCCGGCCTGGGCCTTGAGACCCTCTCCGTCTCGTCATTGCTACTTACAATTATAATCTCCAGAATGTCCTCCCCTGTTCACTGTCATCTTCTGTGGATCCCTTAGCGTCTTTCCGACTTCCCTGCCCAGGTTCTTCCTTGTGCTGATCCTCTGTCCCTTTTTCTTCCCTCCTTTCCTCCCGTTCTTGCTCACTTTCATCCTCTGGCCAGGTTGGGAGCACATCGCCTTCTTTTGTAGGGGAGGGTCTACAGGCTCGCATCTTCCTTTTTCCCGTCCTCACAGGGGGCCGGGGTTGCAGTCCTATCACGAGCACCGGTATGTTTCTGTTTTGCGGCCTCTCTGGTTGCCGCCATGGGTCATCAACATTGATGTTTGCTTGATTAATATCATTCTCCTTGTTGGGTGCCATCTTGGTCCACCTAACTTCTATACCTGAAAGGCAGGATACCAGACAGGAGAAAGCCCCAACCCATTCCCTTGTGACACTCATCCCAGGCTCTGCCCACACGTGTCCCCCAATCCCGGTTGCTCCCACGGAAACAGAAAGGCATGAARAAAAAAAAAAAAAGAGGAACAACCGACCACCTCGCCCCCTTTTCCCAACGCCCCTCCAATGCCATGTCTTATGGTACAATGTCCCATCCCCCATTGCTCATCCCAGTATCCCACAAAAACTATGATACAGCAAACCTCCGCCGAATCGCACGTTTTCCCATGCGTCTCGTGCACACCCAGACCGTCAAAAGGAAAGAAACACAAAAAACAAAGACAACAACCAGAAGCACAAGCGATAAGTAGGCCTCTTGTCACTGTCCTGAGCGACCTTAGTCTTCCGCCTCGTTATCCTGGGCTTCTTGCAGCCATTGTTCCACCGGATCCCTAGTGAGAAACCTGACCAGTCGTTGCGCAGGGACTGGCCCCCTTAAAGTGATCCCATCCAGGTTCTCAATCTCAAACGTGCTCACACCCAACTTTCTTGCAATACGGTAAGGTCCCTTGAATCGCTGCCCCAACTAGCCTGACCATGTTATTTCTAGTGCCGAATTTCTGACTAGGACCATCTCCCCGACCTGCAGAGGCTCCTTCCGGATGTTCTTCAACTGGTCCCACCTGGTTTTGTCCTTCATGTGACTGTCTTGTACCTTGTGAGCTATTTCTTCCAAGGCCTCCTCGTTCCTGGCCGCTTGTTCACACCTTGCCTCAATCAATTGTTCCGTAGTCAGATGAGGATCATCTTCCAATTTGTTCCAGGTAAGGGCTTCTACCGGAAAATCAATCTCCCTGCCATACCATAGCTCTGTGGAGATGCATCCCGTTGTCCTTTTTGGTGTCATATTCTCGGCGAATACCGCATGTCTGAGATAATCCGGCCAGTTCCCAAGCTCATCTGCAGCGAACTTTGCAATCGTGTTCTTAAGCGTTTGTGCCCTCGCTCGACTGGCGTGTTGGCCTCAGGGTGGTATGGTTCTGTCAATTTGATCGGTACGCCAAGCCTCTTGCAGGTATTCAGGACGTCCTGGTTCACAAACTCAGTCCCATTGTCGGCTATGAATCTCCTGATGAACGGGTGCCTCAGATAAAAGTCATCCACCCAGTCTGCAACTGCAAACCCAGTTTTCTTCTTGAGCGCGGTTGCCTCGACAAACCCACTAAGGTTATCCCTTGCGTCAAGTATGTACCTGTATCCTTTTCTGGAAACCGGCATGACTGTCAGGTCGAGATGTACCATATGCCCTGGGCCCAGCACGCGGGTGGGTCTAAGTGGCTCGAAAATGCGGACCGTGCTTCGTTCCTGGCAGATTTTGCAGGTCTGGCAGTACATGGCTACCATAGATGCCATTCCTGGCCAATAATAGACTGACGTTATCTTGGCTAGGGTCCCTTTGGATGAGCGATGGCCACCAGCCAATCCGTCATGCATGGCTTGAATAATGTCGAGTTGTCGCATCCTTCCACATACTACTCTCCTGGGCGTCAGGCCTTCCTCCTTTCGGAATAGGTGTCCCCTTCTAAGCATATTCCTATCCGCTTCCTCCCTAGCTTTAGGACTAACCTCGTGGGGTTCCTTGTTCATGGTTGATTTGGTTTTTGGGAGTCTCGCGAGGGCAAGGGACCTGGTGAATTCAACCGTAATCTGGGAACGCTACTTCTCACCACAGGCCACGAGGATGTTCTATGACGTGGCAGTAAGGCACGAACCGTTCTTGGGAAATCAGGCGCGAGAATTGCTGGAACTTCTTGAGATCCTGATATTCGGAACGCCCCGTCTGTCGTTTGAGGAATACGAGCTAATAATCATAAGAGAGATCGAGATGGGGGAGAACTATCTCGCAGGGGTGGCAAGACTATTTGAGGAACCGGATGAGAGGGGGAGACCGCAAGAGCCAGCATAGGAAAGATGTCGGGAAATATGGTAGAAATAAGAACCAAAGGGAAAGAAAAATAGGATTAAAAGAACCAATTGGATGGCCGCGACCAGGTCTACCATGGGTTGAACACATGCCAGGAAAAAGGGGGGGGGCGGAGACGCCGTTACAACCAAAGGTGCGGCCAAGATATCTAGGATAAGCAAAGGGAAGAGCAAAAAGGGGTGAAAAATAGGCAATTCTAAAGGCTAAGAGAATAATGTGCGCTTGCAAAAAAAAAAAATTCCTTTTTCCATATCACAGGGCTAGAGGAAGTAAAACATGGTCACGGGAGACGAGGTTGGAAGTCAATTGAGGGACGAAAATCAGGACGTAGAGGATGACGTAAATCAAGAAGAGCGGGACCTAGGGGATCGGGGGTCGGCAAAGTCACTAGGAAACAAGGAAAGGAGCAAGGACACTGTGCCCGGGGAAAACTCAGGAAAAAGCGGGGAAAGTAAACGGGGGACTCCAGGAGCCAAGGAAGTAAGAGATAGGGAGAGTCCGGCACATCAACAACCCGAGGGGGCGGAACCGAAAAAGGTGAGATTGACGGATACGCGAAGGAAGCTAGCCGAGGTAAAGAGACGCACGACAGAGTACAGGGCAAAGTTACTGGAGGAAATCATGAGCGATGCCGAGAAAAATGTCGCTGATGACAGAACGCGGCAAGAAGAGGAACCGGACCTCGGGCAAGGAAGCCAGGATGGGGATGCACAACATAGAAGGGATCGGACTAGAGATACAAGGGACACCCCAACAAGAAAAGGGAAAGAAGAAATGGAGCCCCCTAGAGAAGATAGGGATAGACCAGTCAACCCGCCCCTACTGGACAGCGGAGCAAGCCGGCCCTCAGCATCGCCCGTAAGTACAAGAGGGTGTGAAGGGCTCTGGAGCCTGAGGGAAAGGGTGTTGGGATGGTTTGACCCAGAGGGGATCGCAAAGCCAAAAGGGCAACTCGATTTTAGCAAGGAAGGCGCCGGTCCGAGTTCCGCGACAGGACCTGGGATGATTGAGGGAGGGCTTAGGAAGGTGGTGTCGTCCCTCACGCGTGCTGTAAGAAAAAACCAGGGATACTTGGCCGACGCCAAGAAAAAGTTGACTTTCGATGACAGAAATATCACCAAGTTACTAATCGATTATGAAAATCTAGCAGCCTTACTAAGATGGACTGAGGAGGAAAAGATGGAGCACCTAGGCCAGCATGTGTTACTCAACCTCGGTAGGGACATAATGGCAATCGTCGCAATAAGCGGATCATGGAAAGAGGTCAGGGACGTGATGATGAGGAAGTATCTAGCAGACGAAAAGATGGCCACGGAGGCGGAACTAGCTACAGTGCAGAGGAAGAATTTCGCAACATACAGCGACTTCCTAAGGGAGTTTACTCTCGTAGCACTATGAATCCCTAGAGTGACGGACCGAATAATGAGCAAGTACTTCCTAAAGCAGTTCACCCAGTTTGACAAAGATAAGATCTTGTCCGCCTACCAGAAGACAGCAAAGTTCCTGAACACTAGAGACGTAGATTTCAGCACTATAACGGATATTGCAGAGAAGATGGTGGTGACTGACTCGTTGGCCCTGCTAAAAGAATGAGAGATCATAGATTTGACAGGCAAGACTTGAGATAAAGTGAAGAAAGGAATCGAAAGCTTGCACGAGCGGGTCCACGGGGTTGACGGCAAGATAGAGAGAGTAGAGAATGCCTTACTGGTGATGCAAGCCTAGGTTTCGCAAACGCAAGCAGTACGACCCCCCCTGCGCCACAAGAGGCAATCGTACCCCCAGGGATAGCCAACCGCGGTAATAATCGAAAGGACCCAGCCAATGAGCAATGCAAGTACTGCACGATAGTCGGGCATTTTGTCCGCATGTGTCCCAGGCTTAACCACGATATCATCCTTAAACGGTGCTTTAGAACTTTGCGCGGGGAAATCCTGGGGCCACGAGGAGAGAGGGTAAACTGGAACTCGCCGGGAGGGATGGGCAGAGCAGTAATCGCACTTAACAACCTGGACGCAGCCGCGGTTGAGGCCGAACCAGTAGAGGAACTTACTTGGGGACAGGCACCCGGGCGAGGGCACCAGGTTAACTTCATCACCGAGAGTGATGACCGCGACGGGGTTAATGTGACCACCAGACAACGGGGTGCTACAAAGAAGGTAATTTAGGACGCGGTCATGGGACGCGCAGGATGGGTCGAATCCGCCAGCAGAATCGGATCATGACAAAGTTTACGGCAAGCCTAGGGAGGAGGCGCCCGTAGACAAAGTAACATCCGCAAAGAAAAAATTCAGGTACCAGATCCCTATCCTTGCCGATCCTGAGATAGACCACACTCTTAGCCAATTGCTAGGGACCATGGTATCGGTTTCCTTCTAGACTATGTTGCAGGTTAGTCCTAGACTACTAAAGGGCCTAAGACAGCTGCTAACAAGGCAAAGGGTGGAAGTAGCGGAGGAACCGGATGTACGCAAAGAAGGCAAGGAAGAGGAGTCACCGTGGGAAGTGGCAAACCTTCAGAGGCCCCCGGGGATTTGGAAGATCTAGAGAAGGCTTTCGCAGACATCCGGCTAAGTCTGCCAGACTGGGAAGGCGAAGAAGTCATGAGGGCACCGCCTGGCACGAAACTGAGTTTCCATGCGCTACCGGTAGGGAAACTGAAAGTCCAGATTGGCACCCACCATACGCTGGTAGATGGTGGGGCAGAAATCACACTCATTTGCAAGGACTTTGCAACAATTTTTGGGTGCCCAATCAACCGGAAGGTCACGGGGAGTGTCCGGGGAGCAGGTGGGGAAATCCCCTTTTCCGGCTATGTTACCAAGTGAGCAGTTAAAGCCGGGGTTAGAGAGTCTATATGGTCGTTCCAACGAATGACCGCCATGGACGAAATGGACCATGACGTGATCCTCGAGCGCCCATGGTGTGCGAACGTAGAGATGATCGGGATGCATCTGCACGACGACGCCTACATGGTAGACATAGAGGACCCAGTGACAGGACGAGGCGAGTTGCTTCGCCTTATGGGAACCGGGGGAGACACGCCAAAAGGGAAGCTCGCAACCTGGTCACCCTCCTTTGAGGAGAGCGCTAGAAAGGGGGCTTTCGCACGCATGGAAGGGATGAGAGAGAGGGTGGAAATTATGATCGAAGAGGCCTTTGGTAAGAAATAATGGGTCAAGATGGGACTCCCGATGAAGAAACGTAGGTCAGACGAAGACGCCCTGGGAGTCATGGTAGTGGAGAAGGAAACAGAGGTGGAATTGGGAGTCAGTTTGCCCAAGCACGGGGAGATCCGGGACAAGAAGGATAAGGTCACGCTAGAAATCCCGGACTTACTGCAGCTTGTCAAAGCAATCAGGTACCACAAAGTGGTCGTTGACCCGGCCGCCCTCGCCCGCTTTGAGGAGACGATCCAAAAAGGCTATTGCCTAAATGGGGAGTTGGTCAGTATTCAGCCCCGCATTGTGGAAGCCCCGCAAGCAACTCCGACCATTCATTTTTTAGAAGAAAGATCCCGGAAGGAAACGTTCGGAGGTATAAGCCAGTAGGAAAGAAGGCGAAGCCGGTCTCCATCCTACTCGAGATGACTAAGGAGGAGGCCATGGAAAAGGAGGAGGAGGTTCTTCGGGTAATTAGAGAAAGGAGGGTGGCGGAAGGACATAGGCTACCGGATGAGGTGGCCCAAACCATGAAGATCGGAGTAAAGGGTTTTCTGACGGAGCAAGAAACACAGGTAATCAAAGAAGTATGCCAAGAATCTCACCTAGCATTCGCTTTCAATGACCACCAAAAAGGGCGGCTGGATGCTAAGTTGATCCCACCAGTCAGGATCCACACGGTCGAGCATGAGTGTTGGAATGACAAGGGACCGGCCTACGACTTTGGGATCGCAGGAGAAGTGACAGAGCTCCTTAGGGCAAAAATGGACTCCTTCGTGGCAGAACCCACCGCGTCTCCTTATGCCAACAAGTGGTTTGTATTCCGCAAGCCCAACAAGTCACTTAGGTGGATTCAGGACCTGCAAAAGTTAAATGTTGTCACCATCCGGGATGCGGGATCGTTGCCGCAGGCAGATCTCCTGGCTGAATCCCATGTCGGACGCAGTATTTACTCCTTGATAGATCTGTACTCAGGATACGACCAGCTCCCGCTGAACGCACGAGATAGGCCCTACACAGCTATGCATACGCCAGTAGGACAATTGCAGATGCAGGTCACGCCTATGGGATTTACTAATGCGGTAGCACAGGCACAGAGGAGGATGCTCGCGGTGGCCGGGGACATGTTCCCAGACAAATGTGAGCCCTACATTGACGACAACCCTGTCAAAGGAGCACGGGAGAAGGATGAGACCGACGTCCAGCCGGGGATAAGAAAGTTTGTTTGGGACCACCTGCAGGATATTAGAGAGTTGCTGCGAAGATTCCTAGAATACAACATAACCGCTAGCGGTCCGAAGAGTATCCTGGCAGTTCCAGAAGTCACACTTTTGGGATTTCGTTGTGGGGCCTACGGAAGGAAGCCGGATCCGGCTAAGACGGATAGGATAGCACAGTGGCCTACGCCCCTTCGAACTACAACAGAAGTCAGGGCATTCCTGGGGGTGGTAGGCTTTTGGAGAATCTTCATAAAAGGGTTCGCAAAGATAGCGGAACCGGTTCGAGCCATGATCCGTGAAGAAGGCACGCTCGATTGGACTGAGGAAAGGGAATCGGTCGTCCAGACCCTGAAAAATATTCTCACATCCGAAGAAGTCACCCTTGCCGCTCCGTGTTTCAACGACGAGGTCGGTCGACCTTTCATCCTTGAGACGGATGGAGGACCAATGACAATCGGCGGGGTGCTAATTCAAAAAGGCGAAGATGGTAGCGAGTGACCGATTAGATTTGAGAGTAGGACACTCAATTCGGCTGAGCGGCGCTACTCTAAGTTCAAGAAGGAGGTACTTGCGATACTGCATTGCCTCAAAGACCTTTCAGGCTTACCTCTTCGGGAGGAGGTTTATCCTGAGGATAGACCCAACCAATGTCGTCGGGGCCCTGAAGAACTATAAGCCTATAGACCCGACTGTTGGAAGATGGGTAGGATCTATCTGGCAGTTCGACTATAAGATTGAGCGCATAGCCGGCCTTAGGAATCGAGCACACGGACTGAGCAGGGTGGCCCTCACACCCGAAGGGCTAGAAGAGGCAGAGCCGATCGACGCATTCCTCGACTACGAGGGCGGGACGCTGGTAGCAGACAGCGAGATGGCCGGAACCACTTGCACAATTGGGGAGCTATTCATCAAAGCACTCGAAAAGGGGCCTCCGGCAGTGGTTGCCGAGTTAAGGGAAGGTACGGTCACCAGAATTGGAAGGAGGGAAGAGAAGGACGCCTGGGGCAGTGTTGTGAAACCCCGGGATGAACAAATCGCACTAGCCATTGAGGAAGGCTGGAGAAGGGTTATGAGCATGATGGAGTCTCAGGAGCTGGAGATGCAGCATTGTCAGGCCTATAAGGTGGATAATAATCAGACGGGTACTCAGGAAGAAGAGCAGTTCTTCCTCATCAAGTCATATGAAGGTTTGGCGCTGGCTGATACGCTTGGAGGATGGGTAGAGAGCTTTAGGGAGACCTTGATGAGGGGTCTCTAAAACAACGCTCATCTAGGATAATGGTGGACCTAACCCGAGGGCCGATTGGTGCACTCATTGGACGAAACAGGTCTTGGCCACCGGTATAAAGAAGGCAGGATGGCGCAGTGGCTGGCGTCGCCGACCTACTCAGATGGACCAGAGATGCCAATAGATGTGAAGGGTGGGGTATCAGTCGTAATGCCAGAGGAAGGAACGTGGATGAACCTCGAGCCGGCCTATCAAACCGTAATGCTGGCCGAAAGTGATGCCTTCCTATGGATTGAAACGATGTGGACTAAGGTAACCTTGGCCAGGATAACGCCGTGCCTATTGGACTTAGAGTTCCGGGGGACCGTGGAAGCCCGGGGATGGATCTTCCTGTCAAAGGAGAGGGAGACCGCAATGGTTGTCGAACCTGCCTTGGGGAATCTTCCGTACAAACTGTTCAGGGAGGCCGAGCGGGAAGTAGTGTGGGCCACGTGCCAACGAGTGGAAATGATGATGGAATCAATTGATGTGCGGGTAGAACTTGGGGATAGGGAAAATGTGTTGAAGCCGTACAGGGCCCTAAGGTGTGTCATGCCGCCCTTCATGGTAGACGCCGTCTTTGGAACCCGGAGTAGGTTGGTGCGAATATGCAGGGCCATGGCAGGGTTGGGGTTGCACCAGGGAGCCCGCCAGGATTTCTTCCGGCTGTCGGTCGAAATGGGACCCTTCGAGGGAAACTGGGTGAGGGAACTGGTTGAGATCTTAAACCATCTCAGCACAGACGGCTTGTTCGTCCCAAGCGACGTGCAGTGGCGGATAGTTTACAGGAATGTTGCGGTAGGGGAAATCTTTCTGGAGGGTGTACGGGACCTGTGGCCTGAAGAGAATGAAGATGACTCCGAGGAGGAGGACGAGATGGAAATCGAGGAATGAGATTTCTATGGGAAAGGGGGGCTGAGGACGGAGTGGTTGGGTCGCGTGGGGGTGTGCAGGGAATCAAGGATGGCAAGGGAGCAAAGCTTGTGGGCGCGGATGTTTAGAGGATGGACACCTAGGAGGGTTGAGGGCGGGGTAAAGATGGTCTTGCCAACAAGGAACGAGTGGCGCGGCGTGGCCTGCGACTGGATAGGAGTAGAGATGGTACCGACTATGTCCTTTTTATGGGTAGAACGGGTGTGGGATCCGGTTCGAGAGAATGAGGCGTGGGATGAAATAGCCAAGGGGAACGTGGAAGCACTTGGGATGGTGTGCCTTTCGAAGAATGGGTGATATATGTTTTGCACGCACCTAGCAGCGGGACAAGACCCGATGTGGATTTTAGAGGATGCCGAGCTGTTAACTTGGGAAATGGGGCAGGATTTTGCAAATGAGGGGTGGGATGAAGTGGGAAGCAGGGTCGTGATGGGGGGATGGGAGGACCTTAGGCTCCCCTACCAGTTAGTCCAGGTAAGGGTGCAGCATTTTGTTGCAGACTGGTTCGGAGGGTACGAACATATCCGCGCCGTAGCGGAATCCATGAACGAGGTAGAGATAGGCTCCGCCTGGTTATCATACGCTTATTACGAGGAGTCATTGCGATTCGGGCCATTTTACGGGGACCGGGCTGAGGAAGTGGTTGAGATCCTGAAGGAACTTAAGGACTACCGACTAGAGGTAGGAGAGGAAGTTGAGGAGGCGATACTCCGTCGGGAAATAGTCGCAGCGCCCTCATATGTAGGGGACATCTTCTTGCTCTTTGAGGTCCTATGGATTTGAGTACGGACCTGGGAAGGCAGGGGAATAGGGGGATTGACTGGGAAAAGAAAAGGCATTATACATTAAAAGAAGGGGTAGTGTACACAAGAAGGGGGGGGACCGAAATAGAGAGGGGGGGGGCTAGGGTAACTAGGAGACAAGGGGAGAAGACGAGAACTAAGGGAACTTGACTAACGTGGTGCATGCAGAAATCAAGAGCGAGGAGCGGGAGCAGGTAACGAGAAATGGCCAGGCGTATGACGCTTTGGGAAACTCGGCCGCGAGGATCTTGCCGCCACGTTTCTTGGATAGAAGGGTGAAGGTTAGCATGCCCTCCAGGGGCGGGGTGTATAATCCGGTGATGGACTGGGCTGGGGTAGAACTGGTAGAGGACACGGTGTACCTGGTGGTGGAACTAGAATGGCGCGCAAGGGGTGAGTTTGGGGGCACCAACCTGGAGTTGCCAAGACGGGTGCGCGCGACAGGGTCCCTATACTTGTCGGATGCGGGATGGCGGACCTTCTGGGTGGCCTTGGCGGATGGCGGTGACCCTGTACGGATGTTTGACGGGGCGTGGCAGGCAGACCTGGAGGGAAGGGTTTGCGTTCGCCAGCCCGGACCGGGATGACGTAACGGCGACCGTCCGGGTGGTCGAGGTAGGAGCTCGTATCTTGCCTTATGAAAATGTGCGCATGGTCTTGCCACCCTTTTTGCTTGAGCAAATGGGAGGGGTAGAACGTGCTGAGATGGCAGTAATAGCCCTGGGTAGGTTGAGTTTTAGTAACATGACCGTCTATCGAGAATACTACCGGGCCTTTTTGGAACTAGGGTCGTTCGATGAGGAGCAGGAGTACGAGGTGCTAAACATTTTACAGGCCGTAGTGGGAACTAGACCTGGAATACCGACGGTAACTGAGGAAGTCGTGTGGGAGATAGCTAGGCGCGAGATAGGATGCGGGCTGACGTATGTGGACGACGTCCGCCGGCTGTTCGAGGGGGTCGAAGAATAGGAGGGCAGAAGAAAAAAGCAAGGGGGAAGGTAGATCAGCGGGATCGAGCTATAAGGGGGCTTGAAGAAAATTGAAAAGAGACGTTCCTTTTTCCTTTTCCCCTTTTTTTGTGCATGGTGTATGCAGGGCGATATTCGCCAACAATGGCGGCAAGACGCGTCTGTACCAACCGGCGGGACATGCACCTGCAACCGCCCATGGAAACCGGAGGCGGATGAGAAGTGTCACTCCCGGCAAGCTACATTGTCCGGGGGATAGATACGGAATGGCGGGTTGTGACCCTAGGACGGAATCAAGCTTTCATGCTAGTTGAATGCCTATGGGGTGGCATGAGATTCGATAGGCGGCCAGGAGACGACTTATATACTGACCTCAGGGTGACAGGGACTCTATATTTCCCAGAAATCGGGTGGCAAATGTTAGAACTGGACTTGCCTTGGGGCATGGGTTGTTACTAGTGTTTCGGAGGGCAGTCAGGGTCCTGAACCGGATAGGCCATGAGGTTAGGGGAAGACGGAATGTGGGTTTAAGGACGCGAGTAGAAGTAGGGGGATGGCGAGACTTTAGGGCCCGTCCCCCCCCCCCCAATCGATCACCAGTGGCTCGTATTCCTTTTTCTTGGTTCCACTTCCTTACGACTCCTATCCAACCTCTTCCTCATGTTCTCTCACTCGTGCGGACTTAGACTTGGAGGTGAGAATAGACTTAGAAGCTCGGTCCCCTTCCAACATTCACCAGACAACTTTACAGAGGGAGGCACAAAAAGCAAAACCAGGCAAACATCGCACGCAGATCGGTCATCTCCTCTCCGACATTTTTCCCAGAAATGGTCTCTCCACTGTTACTATCGGCAGGGTTTTCAGCCCGTACCTCCAGCACAACTCAACCGTCGCGAGCACGGTACCCAGGTCTCGGCAAGGCATTCGCCCTTTCCTCCTTACCCAGAATACCCCATCCCGACTTGCCGCTCGTGTATCCACCGTTAATCTCGGGAATCACCCTGCGCATCTCGGTAGGGCCATTGGAGCCAGCCGTCCAGGCATTCACTTCCATCAGTCCGATAAGAAACAACTTTTCCCAAGCCATGCTACGAGAAGCTCTTAATCGCCTCCGAGGCTCCTTCCTTGCCCCATATGCAGCGATCCCCCTGCCGTATGCCGACAAGCAGCCGCCCCGCCTGAAGAGGTTTCACATCCCGCCTGGGCAAGGTCATCGAGCCATGCTCGGACCGCTCGGGTGAGAATGCTACTAATCATCCGACGAGACCAACCCTTGCCTGACAGTCCGGTGGCCCGACCCCCACACATGGAACTCGGTGAACTTCACAGAGGACGACCAGCTCGCATCCCGCACCGGCCGGCGCAAACCAATCCTTTCCTTCCGAATGGCAGGACGCTCGAAATCCCAGTCATGCAATCACAACAAGCCCCAAGTGGGACACATATAACATAAGTGCCTTTCCCCTGGTGCACCCAGCGCTTCCTACCCATAGCTCACAAATTTTCTCTCACGACAGCCTGTGCCACTCATCCCTACTTTCCATACATAGTGCCCGGTTCCTTTTCATGAGCATCTTCAAGGGGGAACTAGTTTTTCCCTGGAGTCTAGCAACTCCCTTCATTCCCTTCATCTTCACTTGTGTGTCCATTCATAGGGCAGGATTGTTCCTTCTCGATTACCGTTTGTGTTTATATGAGGTTCCTTCTAGCATTTACGTGCGGTGCACGGAGCCCGCTGGGCTCTGAAGAGAAGTAGAGAAGCACCCAGGTCGGTCGGATCACTCCGCCGCGGGATTTTCATTGGAACCCGGACTGGCCCGGAATTCCAATCGCCTGCCAGGTAACCGGAGCCCTTCTTTCACACGAAGAGGAGGGGTCGACCTGCGGCTTGCCCAAGGCTTCCCCGGCTTGACGAACATCAGTCCAAGGGAAGGAGGACTAGAGTAATCTCCAAAGAAGATGGCGGAGTAAAAGTGCAACCATGCATGTTCTTCCTTTGGGCCTGGCCTTGCCATGCGCCCAGCCACCCTCAAATCTGATTCTCTCAGAGGATAGAGCACACACAAGTCCACATTCCTTATCTTTACGTTTGTGTTCTCAGTCATGCGTCAGGCGCCGTCCTCGAGATCGTATGGGTCAATTTAACCCTTACCCGACACCTCCACCATTTTGTCAGGGCCGGGCCCTGAAGGACTTTCGAGCCTTGGTCGACCCCACTGCGGGTCCCACTTGGCTCGACCCGCCCACGCTCACTCTCGGGGCGCGGGTTGTTCGTCCCAGGGGTACCCCCACCTAGTGCTATGAGATGGATGGGGTTGGGCCAATAGGGCGAGAGAGTTTAACATTGGGGATGTAGCTCAACCCTCTAGCCGGGTAGTAGCCTCACTGGTCTACGTCCACAGGCGTAAGGTTTTCGATTCTCTGTTTGTCTTACCAGGCAATTGCTCCTTCCAATACTCAGGCAGTCCAGGGAGGTTCATTGAGAGCTTTCTCTTCTTTATGGTGCGTAGGCTAAATGTTCTCCTTAGGCCACACACTCCTTTACTAACGACCCTAGTTCCCTATAGCATCATCGGGGCGGCTCGCCCCTTTGCCCCTAGCCCCTATCTTCCCTCTAGTCGGCCTATGCATACATCTTCCGGGTCTCGTGACCGCCCTTAGTCCTTCCAGGCGGTCCTACCAAACTCGCGACCCAGCCACAACCACACATCACGACAAAGTTAGGCTCCAACCCCATCCCCGACCCTTACTCTTTTCAGGTCGCGCTAGTCATGCAATCGTCAAAGCCCAAAATTCATCCCGGCCGTTTGAGATTCAAACCCCTTTCTCCTCATTACGGTCCCATGTCGCACAATCCCTTCATTGCCAGGTCGTCCAAGCCACTTACCTGCAACATATCTAAATAAACATGAATGGCATACATCCATCCCCGATGGGGTCAACACACCGCCCCTCATGCAAGTCCAAGTCTTCCCTTTCCTTTTCCATGCTTTTGGGTGTCTTCCTTCCTTCCTCACAGTCAAACCACACTCTTCTTACTCAGACATGCAGTCGAGGAGGTGGTTGAGTCGACTGACCTTGTCCAAAACAACACTCCTTTTTGC